ACTCTTATGGGTCTCGTCGTGGCAACTACTTAGTCATGGCTCGTGGTACTTTCGCCAACATACGCTTGATAAACAAGTTGATGGATGGTGAGGTTGGGCCGAAGACGGAGTATGTGCCTACTGGTGAGAAGATGTTTGTTTATGATGCGGCCGAGAAATATATGAAGGAAGGACATCCACTCATTATTCTCGCGGGTGCGGAGTATGGCAGTGGATCTAGTCGGGATTGGGCTGCAAAGGGTCCAGCTCTGCAAGGGGTTAAGGCTGTTATTGCTAAGAGTTACGAGAGAATTCATAGGTGAGCGTTCTGGCTTTTGTAGGACCGATAAATTTTCCGTTCAGATCAAATCTGGTCGGAATGGGAATTCTACCACTTCAATTCCCTCAAGGTGTCGACGCTGACTCGTTGGGATTGGATGGTCGTGAGCAGTTCTCAATCGATCTCAAGCATGGTGATCTATCTGTTGGACAGAAAGTTACTGTGCGATCTACGTCTCCGAAGACACCCTGTTTTGATGTGATTGTCCGACTGGATACAGAAGTCGAGCTGACATACTTCAAACACGGTGGCATTCTCCAATATGTGCTCCGACGGCTCGCGGCGTGAATTGGCTGGAGAGTGTTTTTCTCTTTCCACACGTTTTAAGTGGTTGCCCGGGCTGGCATATGTAGTGTGTATGGTCAAGTGGGTTTTTATGTTTCGAATTTCTGTTGGCGAAAACGTCTTCAGTGTATTTCAGTTGGTCACAAATTTTTTCGGTTCAACTCGTTAGTGTTGAAGTTGATAATCTTTTAGGTGGGGAGAGTTTGCCTTTGTGCCTTACGCGAATCTTCAGTTTTTCTTCTGTGTAATAGACCTCCAATGACTGACTACAAGGTTGCTGATATTGGGGAAGCCGAATTCGGTCGCAAGGAGATCGATCTGGCTGAAGTAGAGATGCCTGGCTTGATGGCGAGCCGCAAGGAGTTTGGCCCAAGGAAGCCGTTGGCTGGTGCTAACATCACTGGTTCTCTTCATATGACCGTCCAGACGGCCGTTCTCATCGAGACTTTAAAGGAGCTTGGTGCCAATATCCGTTGGTGTAGCTGCAACATCTATTCGACACAAGATCATGCCGCGGCTGCTATTGCCAAGGCTGGCTCTGCCAATGTGTACGCTTGGAAGGGGGAGACTCTTGAAGAGTATTGGTGGTGTACTGAACAGGCTCTGACGTGGCCTAATGCTGATGGTCCCGATCTCATTGTGGATGATGGTGGTGATGCTACTCTGTTGATCCACGAGGGTGTGAAGGCTGAGAAGGCGTACAGGGAAAGCAAGATT